GTACATTCACATGTTTTGTAACTTCACTTAATTTCTGCTCATTTTGCTAGATGGATGTGATAAAGATCTTAAGATGTGAATGTCTATTACCGGGACTAGGGCCAACCACCGTGTAATACCTTATTATTATTTTAAAAATAATCTGTTTGATTGTAAGTGCCTTCTTTTTTATTTGAAGTATGGTCAAGACTGATATAGTGTAACAAAATACAGACTAAACTGTTTCATGATTAAATGCATCTAAAAAAAATCCGCCCTCCCATCTCTGATCAGCTGTGGCCCATGGCCACAATTGACCCAAAATCCCATACTGATTAGTTTGGTTAGAGTTATTAAATTCTATCTCTCAGGATAGCTCTTCATACATTTACACTGTGAGAGCACAGATGATGCTGGGGAGTCCATTTCGCTCAGGGGCATTGGCATCTATCCAGCAGCAACTACTACACATCAAGAATTCCATATTATAGTGCTGGCGTGACTATTTATTCAAACATGCACACTGTCGGATCTGAGTGGAGGTGTTAATGGACTGTGGTTTAACCTACTGAGAGATGTTTTCTTTGTTAGCTCAGCGTCCCTGCAGAGATGTAGACAGGAAGACTTTTGTGAAGTGTTTTGACTCAGAAAATGGTGGCTAATGGTTGGCAAAAGTAAATGGCAAAAGTAAACATTTGGGCAGGTATCACAGTGTCTGCATCTATTCCTAGGAATTACACCTGAGATTTCTAATGCGAAAACACTTGAAATGGGCCCATCTGAAACACACACTGAATAAATTAATAGAAAAAATAAAAATGCAAAAGCTTTGATTTTTGTTTTTTTTTGTTTGTTTGTTTTTGCAAAGTTAGGATAGATTCCAAAAGTTCATGTTCACTTTGAGCTTGTTTGGTAAAGTTTTAATCCTTTTGAAAGTAGATTTTTTTCCCATATGGATTTCAAACGTTAGCATCTGTCCAAATCCCAGTTTGGCAGTAAAACCATAGTCTGGCATTTGTTCTGGTTCCGCTTGATTTTAACTTAAGGCCCTCTGGAAACCAAATAAGAAATTAGTGACTTTTGCCAAAGACATTTGACAATACATCTGCTCCAACTGTTGCTTGTGGCAACTTTCATGCCTGAGTTACTGACACTGTACATTTCACTGAAATGTTCCTAACTTGAGGGGAAGGTTGCTTTCCAAATTCATGTCTAACATTTTTCGAAATAACAGCTTTCAAACAGCATCAAACATGACATGCTGATCAGCTGGCAGCATGTAAGATCTTAGTAGTCTGTCAAAGATCCATTCTGCCATTGCCACACAGTAGTTACTTTTTTCAAATGTGGCTTATTAGTTCATCTAAAATGAAAATTTAAGTATGCACACATGAAGGCAAATTACCAAAAATTAAACTTTTAAAGAAAAAAAATTTGAACAAGTTTAATTCTGCACACAAATACTTTTACTTTAGCTTGTGGTCATGGTCGGGGAAGCAATAACAAAGAGATGGAAAATATTCAGAAGTCTGGAAATGTATTAATTTATTTAAGAGGAAATCAAAATGGATAAAATAGCAAATCACATTTTAATTATTTTCAAGGATGCTGCAAAACACTGTTAATCAACCATTAATGATTTAAATAAAGTCTTTATCAACATGTTTCTTAGCTATCCCTCCCTTGCTCCACCTTCCCACTACACCTGGATTATTTACTTCCGTCGACCTCCTGATACTCTTTCCCTTTCAACACAACTTGTCCTTCATTTGTAACTTTTCCTCATCATAATTCTATCCATTCCTACCTTCACCCTTCTTGTATGCTGCTGTCATCTGCTAACCTTGCCCCTGTCACTTGTCTCTCAACACCTCAACATCACTTCTAAAATATTGCCCTGGCCTATAGTTGCTATAGCAACAAACAGAACTGCCCCGAGGCTGTGAAGGGCAAGAAGGGACAAACACAACAGAGGAGCACCATCAGTCACTTTCAGCAGACAAACAAACACACACATTGTGTATCCGCTTCACTAGACATGTGCTCAAACCCTCATGCCCTCTCTCAGCCTGACCTAAGCTCAATGTAACTATAATAGGACATTTACATTATGGTAGTTTCTGTTTTGATTGTGTGATGTGATTGTTTGGTGTACAGGTACTCATGTTCATATGCTGATTTGCCCCCAGAAACATTGTTATAAACATACAGTAAATACCATATTTCTCCACTGAGGATGCCCGCCGCAAAGGGATACACTTCCTTTCCCACTACCATAAAGGCCACACAGATGTAGATCCAATTCCCTATTCATTCGGGCTGGGAAGTCAGCGTGGGGTCATGTTCCTGTGGCTGCCACGGCACAATGTGCAGCTGAGCTTTCTTTGCTGTAGCTCATGAATCAAAGAAAGCGCATGGCTGTCCAGCAGTGAGGGTGTAGTGATTCACAGATTAACACACCAGTATTGTGTCAATATATTTTATTAACTTGAATAACTGCTAATTGACAAGCGATAATATGGGCGTTTCCCCAAGTGCTTTGAGTTGGAAACGTGCAGCTGTGCATCTGGAAGAGTACACATTTACATGAATACAGCAAATCTGTGCTTTAGTATTACAATGTTTTATATACACAAAATCTTCCTTTTGACCAGGAGTCAGGACCCTATATTGTCCGTGAGCTCATTGTGACCACATGACCAACACAACGGTTTCTTTTTAATGCAGCTGACCGCCTTTTGTGTTGTTATTGGTTTAGAAATACATTTCCTCCTTTTATTTGTAAAGCAACCCTAAATAGCATCAACATGGAAATTATTTGAATGTTTAAAATGCTGAACAGCACAGTAGTCCAATATGCAATGATCGGCAACAATTATAAAACTGACGACAACTGGAAATGGATGAATATACCTAAAAAATAGATAAACAAATAAATCAAAACATGGTTCACACACCTTCTGTGTATATTAATTGACAACATGAATTGTTTGCTGTAACACCAATAAAACTTTAAACGAGCTCTCATTTAGCACCTTCATTTTTAGGGAAAATTAAACACTAAGTACTTCATGAATCAACGTTGTTGACGGGTTCAGCACAGAGTTTTTAATGCACCATTTTTTTAAAGCCATTACAGGTTTGGAGGGGAACATGGCATATGCAACCTGTGAGGGGAAAAAAGAAAAGAAATGAAAAAAGGAGTTCCCACACTACAACAATGCTTGAATGGTCCAATGTTCTCTAACAAACTGCAGGCAGCATGTTCTTTTTTTGGTAAATTGCTGTTTGCACAAAAACCAATGTATGAAAAATTTTCACAGCACCACTTGAGATCAAGGTCAAGCTTGAGTAATGACCGTGCTTTGAGCCTTGGCTTCATTTAAGGAGCTATGCAAGATTTCAGGAGGACATGGAATCAACTATAGACAGGCCTCCTGCGAACTTATTACTCCTTATGATTTTTTACTTACAACCTTTCCATTTCCAGCATATCTAAAAAGACAAAAAATATGTTTCTTCTTCTTCTTTTTCTAAAAAGCCGAATGACACAAATATATCCGTTACATGTGAAATGGATTTACTTACAAGCCAGATCCGTTTATACTAACAGCTCTTTTGAGTACTTTGTCCCTCTGTAACACCCCACTGATTCTTTAAAATGTCTTGCTCAGACATCTGTCCAAATGAGGGAAACCCTTTGTGTAAGAGACAGGTATTTTCTTTTTACAATGCCAACTTGGCAGAAACAAGTCTCTGCACTCATGTATGTGTGACTAACAACTTGGCTTAGATGTGCAGTTCCTTTCATTCTCTCCTCTTTTAATTGTATCTGTCCATTCCCTCAACTATCCTTGAGTCAGTGCTTTAGTTAAAGCTTGGACTTTGTTATGTGCCTTACCTTATTAAAACAAAGCAGGCAGTATGTATGCACAGTGAACGCCATGGTCAGCTGAGTATGACTAACTTTCCTCTGATGCATGACTCCATACAATACAAATAATGAGTCAATTAGAGTAAATTATACATATTAAGGCCCACTGCAATTAGTTCACCTCTTTTTTCCTGTCTGACAGGAATGTCTGTCTCTCCTCTTTCCTGTCTCCTCCTCCTCTCCTTTTTCCCACTCCTCCATCATTTTGTCTCTTATCTTTCTGCTATTTCTTCCTCTCCATCTCTCCTGTCTGTCACTTAATTCTCCATTCTCACTATTCCCTTTCCTCCCTTCTTTATCTGTTCCTCTCACCGCTTTCCCCGCTCAATCTCTCTCTCTCTCTGTCCTAGTTCTCAGGGTCTCATGGTGAAGCTTTGTCTAATTACCATGCTAGCGTTTAATTGGAACAGCATACACAAACACACAGATTCACTCCCCGAATACCCCGTACATGTAGACACACTGTACTGTGCATGCCCATGGATAGACACATACATCAGAACCATCGCACACACACATTACACACCCAGCAAGTTAACATGCTCCAGTTATACAAATACGCATAACACACAGTGTACACCAGGGTTTGAGCCTGTGGAGTTGGTCCAGGTTGTAGTACAGCCACTGTGTAGCTGCCCCTTCTGTGGAGCTAAGACGTGTTGGCTACAGTCACAGTTGATTTTGGCCTAGTTATACCGTGAGCTGCCTGTAGCTGCTCCCTCTGTAGAGCTGTGTCATCTAAGAATGGGCAACAACAGATGCACATGAAAACATAATGCCAGGCACACATCTAAATACCACACAGTGAATTTGATATATTTTTAGGTTCCTAGAAAATAAAACTATCAGAGCTGCAACATTTAATGTTACTGACACCTTAATTTCATACTTCAACCAATCTCACACACTCACTTACATAGCAGATTAACCTGTATCCTATTTTAATGTTTTGACACATTGCTTCACTTTTCTATTTTCTTCTTTTCTTTTAAGAATAGACGGTAAATATATCTTCACATTTTATTTTCAAATATAACTGAATTTATTCATCTAATTTTTTTTCATTTTTGTCTTCTCTGACTTCCAGTGCTGCCAAGCCACACATGTGGCACACCTGGCCTCATTCCAAACGGAGTCATTCATGGCTCGCGGTACAACATGGGGGACAAGATCCGTTACAGCTGTGAGTCAGGTTTTGTTTTGGAAGGACACAGCATCCTCACATGTATTGTATCACCTGGTAGTGGAGCTCAGTGGGACTTCCCATCACCGTTTTGTCGAGGTAAGCTTCTGTCTCTCTCTGCCTTCCTCCCTTTAAAACATTTTTTTTCTTTCTGTTTAAACTTCTTGATAAATTTGCTGTTGTTAACTTACGAGTTACTTGGTTCAGAGCCTTTGTTCCAAGTGGGACAGGGCCTGTTACGTTCTTGAAAGAAACGCAACATAAAATATCCGACTCTAAATTCACTCATCACACAAAGCTAATGTTGTAACTATAATGTATGCATAGTTTTTCATGTGATTAATAAAATCTGTTAAGATGTACTTTTGCGCTGTACAAAAGTTAACTAAGACATAAAAGATGATGGAGAGATGTGTAGTTAAGGTCATAAGAACTGAAAGACCTTAACTTGAAGACATGAGCTGGAAAATGAGAAGCTGTGCTGTATTGATTTCTCTTAAAGAAAGAAAAAGATGGAAAAAAAACTCAGACTGATGATTGTTATTACTTTATGAGCACATATCGTCAAACTAAGCTTTTCTAATTATTCATTAGTTTATCATGGGACTGCTATTACTGTTGTCCCATAATAAACAATACTAAGTTTAGTTCAGTTATGGGCAGCTGTGTAGTCTACCATTGTTGTTTATTATCCTAGAATGTAACTGTGGATAGCTGAAAATGACATTGCTAAAAAAAATAAGAATAATGTTTAAATTCCCTTTTTAGTTATTTATCTGGTTAGGAAATTAGGAAATGAATTAACTGAAAACTCTGCATTACCAAAGCATTACTTTTATTAAGATATTAGGTTTTAGTTATAGTATGTTGTATATGAACAGATTCATTTTTAAACATTTATGACACAATTTGACATAAAATGACAATGTGAGCAAGTTTGATTAACAGCCAATATGTTCGTAGAGAAAAACATTGCTACCGTATCCTAGTGTATTCTTTCTCATTTGCTTTTCATGTCCTTCCATGTCTAACCAGCGGAAGGAGCGTGCGGGGGAACGCTAAGAGGCACAGCAGGTTCAATAACCAGCCCTGGATACCCAGCAGAGTATGACAACAACCTGGATTGCACATGGTCAATACTCGCTGAACCCGGGGACACGATAGCTCTGGTTTTCAATGACTTCTTATTAGAAGACAAGTATGACTTCCTCGAAATAAGCGGGACAGAAGCACCAAGCATATGGTAAGGCACATCTCATGCACGGATTGCAATACCACAGGAAACAACAACAGTGTTTGTTGACTTCGGAGTCAGTGTGAAAATGAGCATGAATATATAGAAATTATCAAAGATATGTACAAGCACCGTTGGCACTTTTTTTCCCCTTCATTTTATATTTAAGAGATATGAGAGAACAATGTATGTATAAGATCTTAGACTGACATGGAGGTTTTAGGTAAATAAAAACTGCACATTAAAAACAGCAACAAAAAAATCTTTAAGAGTATAAATGATGTTAGGGGCGGACAGATACGACCGCTGATTGATTCGCTGCACGGGAGACCTGTTGATTTTCCCGATGTATTGAAATCCCATAGGGCAGCAGATAAGTTGTTGTGTTTTCACAGCCATTTTCTGTGGTCGTGCCTGTAAAATGGCACTTTGTTGTTTCAGAACACAGTCTGCTTTTTACATTTAGAGCGTTGTTGGAATTCTCATCGGTTTGCTCAGAGTATCAAATACAAATCCACTGAAGACTTGGATGTGTTTTTGCAAGGGAGGAGGCATCCTCGTGGTGAGACATGCAGAGCTGTCACTATTTCAAGTTGCTGAGAAAATCTTCCGAGCAGAAAGCGAAGAAAGTCATTTGGCCTCTCTCAGTAATACTGGAGATGCCTGGGATTCTCTGCCCAGAGAACATCCGTAGTTGACAACATGTGTCATGTATTTTTCATGTGTTTTTCCAAACACCTGTGGCATTTGTTTAATTACTTGTGTAAAATAAATCTTATTACATGTGGTTTTTCTTCAGCTTGATTTGCAGAAACATTGTGACAAATCTTTAGAATACATCACAAGCAAAGTGACATTGAGTCTTGCTTCAAACATAAAAACACTATATCAAAATGAATTAATAAATTCATAGATCAACCCCCTTTAAATTTGTTTGTGACTGTGAACCATATCTTCTGTGTGTCGAGATGCTGTGATTGTAGCGCATTCCTCAAATAAACGGAATGAGTAGGTCGAGAGATAAAAGTAGAGTTAGGGAGGCAAAGAGAAAAGCAGACGATGGAAACAAAAGAAATGGGGAATAATTGCACGTTAAGTGCTGTCAGTGGTAGAGCAGAGCACATCAACTGTGGCATTCTCATGATACCATTTGTGTGTCTGTGGGTGTGTGTGTGCACATGTGTCTATGTCACGCCTTAAGTGGCCCTCTGACAGGAGCTGTTGATCGTTTCTCTGGGCTACGACACATTACACACTCTCAGCTACTCACGCACAAAGCTCAGCCCTGACAGTAACTTTAAAGGATCATTGTCAACCCAACCTCTGCAATGCAGGGGGAAGATATGGAGAGTAGCAGAAAATCCAGCATTTAGTCACGAGGAAAACTGTGAATCAAACAACTTCATTATTTTGGATTGGCCAACAGTCTTACAGATTATTGGCCCTATTATGTTAAAGAATCAATGCTGTTCAGTCAGGTAAATCTAACCTTGAGCATAGTTAGTTGACCTGTAATGTTTTTCTGTGAATTATGCACCACAACAGAAGAAATTCTGAAACCATATATACATATTTTTCAGATTGTATACATATTTAGTTGAAATAAAGATAAGGGAAAAACACAGATCCAAGCTTGAAATAGGAGATCTTGTAAGATTGATGTGAATTTCCTACAGTTACATCTAAATGGGCATCTTCTGTGCCTGATTCTGACACTGTGATGAGTACTTTCAGTATTAAGTAGATCAAGTAGTGAGTAATGATTGACATTTTTACTGAGGCACCTGGACAGGTCATTGTGAAAATGAGTGACATATGACAGGGCAACTGTGACGGGTCCTTCCTGTTTACGGAGAGATTTTTCTGATTGGCTGTCCCAAAAGCAATTTCCTGTTTCATGTTCCTGTCTACTAGCTGGCAGGTTGAATGTCATGTTGACTAGCTGTCACATATACACACAAACCCACAAACCGTTCTGCAGAAATACACAATATAGGAAAACAGATAATTACAAAAATAAACATGCTTATTTTTTTATTGGTCCAAAAACATATTTGAGTTCAACAATATAACTGAGATATTCCGTCCTGGATCTGACTGAAGTACCATGTTTTCATGCAGCCAACTTTCTGCTTATAATTTCTTTAAAAATGCTGGCTGAGTGAGGTCAGGCTTCCTTGAGACAGCCCAAGGCTTTACGGAAAATGGCAGAAGGAGTAAAGGCACTCCTCTAAGAAGCAAAATGAATGACAGCGACAGGGTCAACAGAAAGGTTCAGAGACTTTTTTTAAAACCTCTTGTAATTTGCATTGCTGTTGCTTACTGTATCGCAAAGCTTTATCATGATGTATGGCCTATTGTATGTTCCTCTTTATTTTGATCTATTTAGCAAGTGAAATATCAACAGGTCACGCAGCTTTTATAAATTAATCAAAAGTAGAAGTTGAGAGACGCCATGACACTCAGACTGACCACAACTAAAACTATATAATATATAGAGTAAGAGGACAAGCATCAGGCACAAAATGATCCAAAGATCAGAATGACACTCCAGCTTCCAACCCCCCATCCAAAAACATGTGTTATAATTTAAGTAATGACTTATGGAAAGCATTTACTTTCCTGTTAAAGCATGATTTAGGCATTTCATTTCACGTTACCTAATAATCATATATAATGACTTAATGTTCTATCGTCAATCATCTGTGAAGGACGAGTCACTGTCAGCAATGTCAATTTTTTTTTCCCTGAAGAACAGCCTTTTGTGGAATTCACTAATACATCTAAATGTTGTGCCCAAGCATGGAAATGGACTATTTCTGAATACTTGTTTCATGAATGTTTAGAGGAGCTAAAATCTTGTTTTATTGCTCCAATTTTTCTTTAACTCTTAACGTTTTTGTTGCGTTCTCTGCACACTCAACACTCCCTCAGGCTAGATCCCCTCTTCACATCTTGTGCTTCCATTCTTTCCCCCATCGTCCTCTGTCCCAGCATTTCAAAGGGGAGATGAATAGTGCTCCTTGCTCATTTTCCTCAACTGAAAGAATAACAGTTTAATATAGACCTTTACTGAATACAGAAATTACTACAAATCGGGAGTTGTGGTGCGATGGCTTTTACCCATGGAGCCTGGCTGGGCTCAACCCGAAAGGGTCACTCATGGGAGGGGCTAAAGGGGTCAGGTGCTCTGTGAAACGGGTGGCCGAGACGGGGACCTTGGCGGACTGATCCTCTGTTGCAGAAGCTAACTGTTGGGACGTGGATGATGAGCCTTTTTTTTCTTATCTCCTTGCATCTACAATCATAACATTCTGGGCATATCAATCTACGTTTTTTCGGTTTATAGTCACTGCCAAAGCTCATGACGATATTGCATAATAGACCTTCATTGAACATTTTTTTTATTCCTTTTACCTGTGACAAAGACTGATGCTACATGCCTCGTTAAGTTGTAAAAATAATGCTGATCAATTGCACATTAACCCTTATACTGCAGCTTTGGCTCTGTAGGCCATGACTTAAAACTCTAAGGCAAGTGCTGTCTGTATCCTTTGAACCGGCGCTGGAACCTGCATTACGAGATAATCTCAGTTATCTAACGTAAAGATAACCTCAGTCATCCGTTAATTTTAGGGATTCCATTAGGATTCCAATATTCCACACGACCCTGTGACATCTATTAAAAAAATGTGCTCCTACTTTCCCATCTTTCTTTCAAAACTGCATATAGTCTCCTCTCATGCCCCCCATGGTACATCACTGCTCCCTTTAGATCCCACTGCTCCCCTGTCCACTCATGTTGTTTCTCCTCCTATGCCCCCCTTTTTGTTCCTAGTATTCCTCTTATACGCTCTTTTCTACTCTTTTCAGCACTTGTCCTGCCATTACATTTACATTTTAAATCGTGTTTGCTGGTTGAGTGTGTGCGTGTTGCTGTGCTCCTGTGTGGGTGTGTTATGAGATTAAAAGTAGCTGTGTAGCCCAGTTTTTCACCGAACACTTGGAATAAACAACAATCTGTTTTGGATAATGCGCTTCAACTTTTCTGACTTGTATCCAATCATTCATTTTTTATGGTGCTTTTTTGCCATTTTACAGATTCACACATCTTGAGGGAATAGCAATAAGTGCAACTATGAAACAAGGCTAAAATAATGTATTAAAGCCAATTCGTTGAGAAGGGGGAGGGCAAAATAACAGCATCCCAGAGGTAGAAATTTATGTATTTGTCTTTCTGTTCAGGAAGACAAAAAAAAAGTAGTATAATAACACAGAAATGTTACAGCTGGCACAGAAATACCTCTTTTCTTCCTCCTTATCTCCTCATTATGTTCAGTCTTACAACTTTCCCTTTCCCACCTTACATTTACGCTTCGCTTTTATCCTCATGTATTCTTTTTGATGCAGCTTTTTATGAATTTTTAAGGGAATTGAAGCATTAAAGCCACCTCAGTTAAACACATTAACACATTCTGTCTACAGTATTGTTAGAATCGGGCTATGGTTACTCATTTTAG